TTCCCCATAATTCATTTTTCAGACTGCTACGCCTTCCCTTTCTTTGGACAAACTGGATTTTTCCTCAGGTGCGTCAGAGAAAACCCAGGATCCTACAATGGCCCCAGAGAATGTCACTGAAGGTGGGATCATGCTACTTGCCACTGGCACTGTGTCATCTGAGCCCACGCAGCAATTCACACCACCTGCTACCACTGCCAAAGCAGGTAATGTTTCAACATAGCCAGAGATCTGAGGGGTACCTGCAGGTTGGAGAGTGGACAGGAATGGCTTTACTACTGTAAGACTTCCAACCTCTTGTTAGTTGTGAGCTTGTTCTTTATCCAAATGTGATATCGTCCCACTTTAAGCATGTAGACCTTCAGTAACACTGCAAACTCCAGACCCCGTAGCCAGTTCTGACGCAAAACTCAGACGAAGTCCATCGTTAATAGGAAATTATAACTCAAGAAAATACAGCAAAGTAAAAAGCAGAGATTAAGAGTGTTTTTTAAATGGGTTAATTTTTATACTTGGTGAGAAAGTATAAAAATGGTTCCCCACAGCATCCTCCTGGAGAAACTAGCTGCCTGTGGTTTGGATGGGTGTACTCCTCACTGGATAGAGAACTGGCTGAATGGCCGAGTGCAGAGGGTGGTAGTGAATGGAGTTAAATCCAGCTGGTGGCCAGTCACAAGTGGTGGTCCCCAGGGCTCAGTTTTGGGTCCAGTCTTGTTTAACATCTTTATCGATGATCTGGATGAGGGGATTGAGTGCTCCCTCAGTAAGTTTGCAGGTGACACCAAGCTGGGTGGGAGTGTCGATCTGCTTGAGGGTAGGAAGGCTCTGCAGAGAGATCTGGACAGGCTGGATTGATGGACCGATGCCAGCTGTGTGAGGTTCAACAAGGCCAAGTGCCGGGTCCTGCACTTGGGTCGCAACAACCCCATGCAATGCTACAGGCTTGGGGAGGAGTGGCTGGAGAGCTGCCTGGAGGAAAAGGACCTTGGGGTGTTGGTTGACAACAGTCTGAACATGAGCCAGCAGTGTGCCCAGGTGGCCAAGAAGGCCAATGGCATCCTGGCTAGTTATCAGGAATGGTGTGGCCAACAGGAGTAGGGAGATGATCGTGCCCCTGGACTCAGCACTGGTGAGGCCGCACCTCGAATACTGCATTCAGCTTTAGGCCCCTCACTACAAGAAGGACATTGAAGTGCTGGAGAGTGTCCAGAGAAGGGCAACGAGGCTGGTGAGGGGTCTGGAGAACAAGTCTGATGAGGAGCAGCTGAGGGAGCTGGGGCTGTTTAGTTTGGAGAAGAGGAGGCTGAGGGGGGACCTTATCGCTCTCTACAGGTACCTGAAAGGAGGTTGCAGTGAGGTGAGTGTTGGTCTCTTCTCCCAGGTAACTAGCGATAGGACGAGAGGCAATGGCCTCAAATTGCGTCAGGGGCGATGTGGCACTTCAGGATAGGGTTTAGCAGGCATGGTGTTTTGGGGTGGATGGTTTGACTTGATGATCTTAGAGGTCTTCTCCAAGCTATGATTCTATGATTATCCTCAGGCAAGGCCTGAGATGGCATCATGCCACCTTTTATGATCCCCTTCTCTAGTACAGCTAGGAACAGCAATTAGATGCTGAGCCAGCTCTAGCTGCAAGTTACAGTGCGCAGGTCTGATGTAAATTATACCGGTTTGTTGTGTTTTAACCCCAGCCGGCAACTAAGGCCCACCAGCTGCTCGCTCGCACCCCTCACAGTAGGATGGGGGAGAGAATCAGAACAGTGAGAAAACTCATGGGTTGAGATAAAGGCAGTTTAACAGGTAAAGCAAAAGCCACATGCACAAGCAAAGCAGAATAAGGAATTCACTCACCACTTCCCATTGGCAGGCAGATGTGTCCAGCCATCTCCAGAAAAGCAGGGCTCCATTGTGTGCAATGGGTAATTGAGAAGACAAACGCCATCACTCCGAACGTCCTCCCCTTCCTCCTTCTTCCCCCACCTTTGTATGCTAAGCATGATGTCCTATGGTATGGGACATCCCTTTGGTCAGTTGAGGCCAGCTTATTTACTACAGAATAGATATATATTTACTACAGAAGCCAAGAACATGAATTGGAAGTACAACATGTGGTGGTGCCTTTTAGACCTGTTACAGTGTGGAACTAGGGAGTTGCTACTGCCTAAGTCAGGTGTAATGGGAAATAAATATCCAGGAAAATGGTGGTATTGCCAGTTTTACCATGCCACAAAAGCAGAAGCTGAAAACAGAATAATAGGCTATATGTTTCTGCGTTAAATCCTCAGAGGCTCTAAACTGGCATTAACTTAGTGGTGTCGTGTTGACCTTGAGCAGCAGCGAACCTGGGCCAGTATCTTCTATGAGGGCAAAGAACCATATTTGGGTGGGTGGTTTTAAAAGGGATGCAGTGGTGGAACCAGGAGAATATCCCACCACTGTTGTTATAAAATTTTTCATGCAATGAACTGAGCATGCTGCAAAATTCTTGAAGTGGGACTGTGCCTTCAGATATGACTGAAAAAGGGAAGTGCTTGCTGTGAGATTTGCCCTGTTACAGAGCTGGTGTCTCCCAACTTGTATTTTGTGCTGGCTTGTGCACATTATACTTGTGATTTGTACCTTTGATACATTATATCAAATTTTTAATATAATATTCTGTGTAAAGTCTTCTCTCTAATTGGCAGTCCTTGCCAGTGACTACCTGGCAAATGTCATATACTAAATATTAATTTTACAGAAAATAACACTCCTCCAGTAGCAGTGGCCGGCCCTGACAAGGAATTGACCTTCCCAGTAGAAAGTGTTACACTGGATGGCAGCAAAAGCCAAGATGACCAAGGCATTGTCTTCTATCATTGGGAAAATATCAGGTATCCAGAGATTTTACTAATCTACAGTAAAATAGAAAACAAAGTGAAAGTGATTGGTGCCAGAGCCTCTTGTGCAGTTGTGTTGCATGATGCACTGTTTGAGAACTGCTTGGAGGCTCTTCCCACTCAGGTGGTAATAGGGTAAGAGACAGGAATTTCAAGTTCAACTTGGAAAGCTTAGGCAATCTCTGCCTGTGTTTCGCAGTGGGTCATTTTGGGGCTGACTGTTAGAAAGTTAAGAGAAAATGACAGGAAATTCCATGTCTTGCCTTAAAAGACAACAAACAGGCTTGAGTACAGTCCTGTAATGTACAAAGTTTTCCCATAAGTGCTTAGAGCTATGATTTCTCAGTCACTTGTTTGTTGAATGATAAAGTAAATTCACAATCTGTTTAGCCTGAGCTTTCGACGGTAGGTGACTGAAGTGGTCATGAATGATGATTGAAAATGTTTTACGAAAGTTTGTAAATGTATGTTTATATGCAAAATGAATTGATCCGTAATAAATTAAGGACAAGGTATTAGCTTACGCAGCTGTCGTGTCTATGGCACAGGAAGAGGTTTGCTGGCACCCTGTATATGTTGTGAGTGGCTCTTAGAGCAACTGTGTTTGCATGCTCCCATGAAATAATACAGCGAGCAGGTTGAACTTCTGGGGTGCATTTTCTACTCTTCTAAAAACTAGGTATGTGATGCTTGGGTGCTTTGAATGTCTTGAGGCGGAAAAAAATGGATTTATGAATTCTCTGAATTAAACTCATGTCTCATATGGTTCTTCAACCATAAGTGTTTATAGATGTGGTAGAACTACAATATACATAAAATGGCATGAGCAATGCTGCTGAAAGAACAGTTTGACTGGTTGTGCAGCATTATTTTTCTGAGATGTTTTGTTTCAGTGGACCAAGCTCTGTACAGATGGAAAATGGCAACAAAGCAATAGCAACTGTGACTGGTCTTCAGATTGGTACCTATCGCTTCAGGCTGACCGTGAAAGACCAACAGGGCTTAAGCAGTGCATCTGTGCTATCTATTACTGTGAAGGAAGGTAAGCTTAGTTACTGCTTGTTAGGATATGGTAGGCAGCTTGCCAGTTAATTCAGTCACTTGACAGAATGTAAAGGAAATTGGAACAGAGAGAGAGGATGTATCTGTTGTCATGTTTCAAGGGTATTCAAGAAGAGTTACTGCTATTTTGTAATAAAGTAGTATTGCGAGTGACTGGTAGAAGTAACTTCTCTTACTGAAAGCTTTTAAAAGTTAAATAATATATGTAGAATTAGTTGTAATGCTCCAACTTATTAGGTAATAAGTGATTCTCAAGATGACAAGAGCCCAGCATGGTGATCTCCTGCTGGGATGTGTTTCCAAGTAGGCAGAAAATCTTTCTGCTTGACTGAGAAGACTGACACATAAGTGATTGTGAGACTGCAAATAGAGGACCCCACAATGCTTTTTGAAAAAGATGTTTTTGGATGGTAATGCTTACTGGTATTCTCCCCATGGTGCAGCTCTGCTTTTGTCAGGTTGTAATAGTCCTGGAGCCAATTTCTCTATACCCACTCATCCTTTCCCTGTAGCTTTGACATGAGATTCTGTTGTTATTGCCTGTAATCATCAAGTAAAGAATCGTAGTGTGGGTGTATTGGCAATGGCATGTCATGTTTCGCATGTTTTGAAAGCAAATCCTTCTCCTCCACTATTTTTATGACTAGAAAACAACAGTCCACCCCGGGCGCATGCTGGTGGGAAGCACGTTCTAGTGCTTCCAAATAACTCTGTTACCTTGGATGGTTCAAGGTCTTCTGATGACCAGGGGATTGTGTCGTATTTGTGGATTCGGGATGGTCAGAGCCCAGCAGCTGGGGTAAGTTTCTTGAAGGTTGTAACTGGAGTCAAATTCTGCTCTTGTTATGCACGTAGCGTCACTGCAGCAGGGCAGGCAGGTATGACCCAGAAGATGCTATGATGCATGGTGTCTGTTTCTGGTTTGTCTCCGCTGATTTCTGTAATGCTTTGTTTCAAGGGGCTTGTGATATTTTCACTGTAGCTAAGAGGGCTGCAAGTACGTAAAAGCACTGCAGCAGTGTGGACCTGGTTGGGAAAGACTCTAGACAGGAGAATGAAGTTATGGCTCTTAAAGAGCAATTGGTGATAGTACCAAGCTAATGTGTATGAGAGAAAAATCATCTGCAATCCAGATACTTCAAAGGAGGTAGGCTCTGAGAGAGCAAGAAGTGCTGGTAAAGACTGAGGAGTCATATATGGTACCAGATGAGGCAAAACCAGGGGTTTAAGACAAAAATGGTGTTTGGTGCTAGGTGTATAGATACCTTGCCTGGCAGACTATGGTGAATAGCCTAGGTTATTAGGGCGGTAGAGTCTGCTTTCTGAGTAGGGGCAGACAGCAGAAGTACCTCATGGTAAACTGAAGTTTGTATGTCAGCTACTAATACTGTGATAAGTTCTTTTGCCTGTCCGCACAAAGTGTTGTGGACAGCTCTTCACAGTCAGGAAGACAGCAGCAAAATGGCAAGAACTGGGAGAGGAGAAACAGCAAAGTGATAACAAAGCTTCTAGAAGCAATTCACATGAGCAAGGGAGAAGAATTGAAGAGGTTTAGCTTCAATGTAGCTGGCAGAGGTGATAGTTGGAAATACATGAACTTGAAGGAAATTAAATAATTTGGAATGTCAGAAAGCAGAACTAAGAATAGTGGAGTAAAAACTGAGAAAATAATGTAACTGTCTTAGATTTTCAAGCAGATGAGTACTTGAGAATGTCAGCTGTTTTGCGTCGGTGTGGTGTTTTGTTTTGTGTTTTTTTTTTTTAAATGAAAATATCCATGCTGTGTAGACATCCTCATTTACTCCTACTTCCAAATTTGTATTATTTTCCTATAAACTGGTAGGTCACATTTCTCCCAAAAGCCAAAGCAAGAACTCACATTGTAATATCTGATAGCCGACTTGATAGTCACACCTGCAGCTGTCGCTGAGGGTGTAATCATCCTAGTACCCTTTTTTTCAGGATGTGATCCATGGCTCAGACCACGAGGCAGTACTGCAGCTGACTAATCTGGTGGAGGGAAACTATACATTTCACTTGAAAGTGATGGATGCCAACGGAGACTCAGATATTGATTCAGCAACTGTTGAAGTGCGGCCTGGTATGACAATTAAAAGGTCATCATACGTTGTGAATAGCTCATCTATGTTCTCCCTTTCACTTATGTATTTCAATGTTGACAAGATTCTCTCAAGTTAAAACACAAAGCAAATGGGTCTCTCTCTTCATACCTTCTTGCTGTTTCTCAGTAGGCCTGAGTGTGTTAGAAGAAGATGTCGGGATTCTTGACTACCAATTACACCATTGCCTTCCTGGAAGCATAAATAAATAAAAATCATACTTCCTAGTTAATATTTTTATTACTTTTTGTTGCTTTTCATTCATTGTAGGTTTTTGGGGTTTTTACCTGGTTGTTAATCAGTTTGGCCAATGGAAAGAGATGGGAGCTGAGCATTAAGTTTAGGTACAAATGCTGCACTCGTGTTTTGTGGATTAAAGCGTGTTCTTATGCTTGTTTTCCTCCTTTCATACTGAAGAACAAAAACCTCAAATTTCAGGGTTTTTTAAGTGGTCTTTTCGTGGTTTGATATTGCTAACATATAGGCTTGTTTTCAGATGCAGGATAAATGGCTATGTGATGGAAGCATAAGTTGAGGTTTCAGGAAAGGAGTCTGAAATCATGGGTCTGTCTGAGATTTCCTGTTCATCTGGTTCCTGGACAATGATTTTATTTCTATTCCTCACTTCATTGTTGAATATAGTCACAATAACTGGTGCGGGATTTTCATTGGATATCTGTGAAGCTTGTTTTGTTTGCAAGGCTCTCTAGATATTCAAGTGTTATTTAACAGAACCCTCAGTTTGTGAAGGTAAACATATTTGATAATTCTCAGATTCACCATCCTCATTGAGACTTGCTTACATGTTCTTGCATGCTACCATGAGTCCATCTTTGTCTCCCTTTTCCTGGTTGGTAGCCAGTAGCAGATAACTAGCAGGGAACGTAAGAATTAGACTCGTCTATTGCTTACTCCTTACCTTAATATAGCAGCATTAAGGGGAACAGAAGCTGCTGTTCTGCGCAGAGATGTTGGTAACGTTGAACTGAAGTACACACTGAAGTGCTTTCTGATAAGCTGGGTTGCTATCTTCGGACCCAGCAGGTTTGTTTCAGAGAGAATGTGAAAATGTAGGCTCAGTACTTTTCTAAGAACACAGAAGGGTTGGATTATAAGGGGTGTGGGTCTTACGCAGGAAAATATGGTATTAATAAATACTTTTGAATACTGCATGTTGTCTTCAGTTGGTACTGATATATTCGCCAGGCTCTGAAAGAATAGCATGTTCTTCCTATGTCAGATCTCAGAAGGAGTGGTCTGGTGGAGCTGATTCTGCAAGTTGGAGTGGGACAGCTGAGTGAACAGCAGATGGACACCCTGGTGAGACAGCTGGCTGTATTGCTGAATGTTTTGGATTCAGATATCAAAGTTCAGAAGATAGAAGCCTATTCAGATACAAGGTACAAAGATATCCTGGTGTGCCAGGAAGAGTTGTGATTTTCATTGACTTGCACAGCTCATGATTAGTTGCAAAATAATTGTTTCAAAGTTGATAAAAAATGCTATAAATCTCAACAGTATGTACTTTAAAAGGTTAATTTCTTCTGCTGTGGTAGAAAGTAGATGAAATAAGCTCTCTGGAGGCTGAGAACTGAAGTTTTTTGTTTAAAAAAAACCTAAAATTTCTCTGTGTAGTTATTGTATTCCTTTTAAAAAGTGTGTGAGTGTATTTCAGTGTCTTTCTTCCATACACTGCTATTATTTTTCCCAAATGCTGGCTGGAGTGAAATGGACAGACTTTCTCACAGTGAAGCAGGTGTTGTATTCAAAATAAGGTTCCAGCTGTATCTGCTCAAACCTGTTTTATTCCCCTTTTCTTCTTCTTCCTCTCTGAGGTTTTGGTATTCTAAATATTTTATAAATGTTTTCCCAGGCAACTGGTGATGAGAATTCATTTTTTGCAGAGAAAACTACACAGCGGATACTCCTAAGTGTAGTATCTTACTTTTAAGTAGAAATACCCCCGTACTTGGTGTAGAGGATTAGAGATGGCTGTGCATACACAGAGAACTCCTCAGCATGATTGGTAGAACGTGTTGACATGAGTTATCTTTAAATTACTTCTTGTTAACTACTTGGTAATTTAAAATCCATTTTGGTGTCTATTTAGGTCTCTGGGAACTTCTTACAATTTAAAAATAAAACAGTTTGGAAAATCTGGCATTTATAGCTATGAGATTTTTAGTCACAGCTTCCAATTACTGCTTTTCAAATAAAGATGTTCCCTGAAGTGGAATGGGATGAGA